ATGCTCAGAGTTAAATCTGAGAAAGGGCCTGTTTTAACCCAAACCGTCCGCCTTTTTCTGACGCCCGGCTGCATTCGGCCCGTCCCAGACCTCCTGGGATCCTGCCCGCGGGCCTTCCTGGGGTCCCCACAGCCCCATCGCTCCTGCCCCTCTCTTACCATCCCATCGGAGCAGCTGGAAGTGGGGCTGGTCGGTTCGGAGCAGCTCTGTCCCGGCAGGTGATAATAGTTTTCTACCTGTTCCCTCAAGAGCTCCTGGAGGCTCTCGATGTATCTGATGGCGTTTCTCAGGATCTCTACTTTGGGGAGTCTTTGGTTGGGGTTGGCAGTGGTGCATCTCTTCAGGGTCTCAAAAGCCTGGTTCACTTTCTTCAGCCTCCTCCTCTCCCTCATGGTGGCCGCCTTCCGCCGGTCCATCGTGGTGGATTTTCGCTTGCAAGCTTTGCAAGCCCACATGAGGCAGTGGCCGGCCTGGTGGTGGCCGGTGGGAGCTCGGACATGCTCCTCTTCCTCGGAGCAGGCGGGTTCGGGGGGTTCGTGGGCGCCGAAGGCGGGGAGGTCCCTGGGCTCGAAATCCTCGGGGAACTCGCCCTCCGGCGAGGAGAGGCAAGAGCTGTCATAGAAGAGCTCGGAGGGGGAGAACTGGCAGCTGTCCATCACCTCCATCCCTGCAGCCGAGGCGTCCGTGTGGGGCGGCAGCCACCGGCTCTCGGCGAGGCGCTCTGCGGCGCGCTGGGGCAATTTCCTCAGTAATTAGCGACCTGAGACGAAGTGTCCTTCGGCAGATGCGGGAGGCCCTTATATATGCATGTAAAGGGAGGCGGCCGGTCTGTATTAGCATATCCCACCACATCCCCTGCCGGGGGCTGTCTGGGCAAGCCCCCTCCAGTCCCCAGGAGACAATTTGCTCCGCACCGCTCCTTTGGAGGGCCGGGAGCCGGGCACTTCTCTAATTAACGACCTCCCCAGAACTGATTGCGACATCTCCGAAGTTTAAACCGAGCCCGGGAATTCGCGATTTTGGTATAGAAAGGGGAAAAGGGGCGGTGGACAACGCACGAACTTCTGACATTTCCTTCAGAGCTATTCCTCGTCCCTGTGTTCCCATCTCCCATCTCCCGCTGCAGCGTGAGGGACACCGGCTCTCCCCACGGGGGAATCAATGTCGACCTCCCCCCCCCCGGCCATAGCACCTACAGTGTCTGCTTGCATATCTTTATTGCCCACAGCCCGTGGTCCAGGTCTAACCTGAAACAATTTACCCCTTTTTTTTAGACCTAAGATTTATTCATTTATCTTGGGGAGCACTTTGTCCTGTAATTAAAGCCGTGTCACCAACCGTTTAAGTTTACACACCACACCAGGGGACAAAAATGCACAGCTACGTGCGGCCAGGAGAGACGAGGTGGGGGGAAACCCAGATTTTAGTGCTGCCGGATCGGGTCACAGGGAAAGGTACTCACAAAAGAAAATTGTATGTGTTTTCCCCGAGACAAATCCCTTTCCCATTCTTTCTCCTCCTCTTGTGACCCGCTGCTGCTAGAGACACAACAGTGGAGCAGTGCCTTGGGCTTGCTAATTTTCTGCTTTCAGGCAAACTTGTACCGTTACAGATGCGTCCCAGCTGCCAGTGCAACAAACCCCTCCTGGAAGTGTAAAATTTCTAACCCCGCAATCCCCGAGTAACTTTACACAAGCCGGGGACAAAAGCTTTGCAGAGCCCCAGCCACACCAGTAGCTGAGCGGAGCGGTGCAAGGGTCATTAGAGGGGTAATGAAGCCATTTAACAGGCATTTGCTAACGCGCAGGAATCCTTTGGTTTCGTCCAGGTGGCTTTTGTAGTTGGGGAAAATGTTGTGAGAAGGCAAAGGAAACCTTCCCTACCTGGGAATAAAATTATGTGACCCGGGTTAACTCTAACGGAGAGCGAGTGACCCAGCAGCGGTTCAAACGCTACGGAGCCGGTCCGGGAAAAAAAAAAAAAGGATTCTTCAATTAACCTCTCTTCGGGAAGAGGTAACGCGGAGGGCACGGCGATCCGGGCGTCTCAAGGAGCCGCTCTTTAAGGGAAGAAGGCGGGGAGGGAACCCTCCGGAGAGAGCTGCCCCGCACAAGCGCACACCCCCGGGAGTCTCCCGATCCGGCGGGAGCCGCGGCTGGGGCTGCAGAGACCTCGGCTGCTCCTTGCCTCCCTCACCCCCTCAAAAAATCCCCCAAAGGCGGATTTCAACTCTTAGGCTAAAAGTTTTCCCTCCCCTAAAAAAAGCCCCATGCACACCCCATCCTTCCTACGAGCGGATGCATGATCACCTAAAGGCTGGGGCAGGCTACATCTGCACCGCTTCGGTTTATTTGGGGCCATAAACGGGGGGAGCCCCCTTTGAAATGAATACTGTAGGAAAAGCGGAGAGTTTGATAAAGGAGTAAAGTTACAGAGAGGGGAGAGCTCAGAATTTGCGGGCTTCTGCCCCTCCGAGGTGCAGGTTGCTGTTTAGCTGGGCCACATCTGAAACGGGGCAGTTCCCTATTGTTTTCCTGAAGAAACCGTCCCTCAGGAGGGGGTTTGCTCGGCGGTAACTTGAACTCTTCACTGGGCAGTGGCGTGTACACACACGCACACGCATACAGACACACACACAATTTGATTTACCACGTTGGCGCTGGCTAAAATAGACCTGTTTACAGATTTGTGCTTTGTGCACAAATAAACTTGATCTTTAAAGTGCCGGTTGCAGAGTTCTTCTGATCACCTTCCAGGGTTTTTTTTTCTCCAAGCCTGCACTGTGGATGTCCCAGTGCAGAATGCCAACCCCGCTCTCCTGGTGTGCAGGGCTTCAGCTGGCAGCTTTAACTCCTAATCCAGCGGCACTGGGGTTGTTAAGAAACGTGCCTCTTCCCAAAAGTCTTTGAGGACCTAGGAAAATTTTTTTCATTTTTCCCTGAATATTTTGGGGGAAGGGAAAGAAAAGATGGAACAGCCTGTCACTCAGGAAGGAAAAAAAAATATCTGTAATTAGTATCCCTTAAGAGCCCCCGGCTCCTCTGGTAAAGTGATCTCAAAACAAAGTCGCAAAAGTGCAGTAGGCGAGTGGAACTAAAGAAAGGGGAGAGAAAACACAAATTACAAGGCGGCTAATGAGGCTGCTGCTGGTGATGGTGGTGGGGGAGGATAGTGCTGGGTTTCAGGAGGCTCAAATCCGGAAAGTGGGAACAGCCTGAGCACCAGACACCGCTCCTGGGGACGGGCAGGGAGACAACGGTGAACAAGTCAGGACCCCTTTAAATGGTGTTTCTCCCCCCAACCCTTCCCGCGCCGCAGCTATCTATTTCAGGAGGGATTCAATTCCGGCTGGGGACCACTTCCAGAGAGAGAACGCCGGCGCAGGACGGAGCAACCGGCCGCGAGAGCGTTATTTAGGGGTGTATTTTATTTCATGATGCCGGCGAGGGCTGATACGCGGGAAGTCGCAGCCCTCTCGCTCCGTGCCGCCTCTCCCCTCCCGCCGTCGGTGGGTGCCGGTGCCGGTGGCGGGGAGGACTCCTCCGTGCCTCCCCCCCAGCAAAACTGTTTCCCAGTTGGGCCGGCGGGGCCGGGCGCTTCCAGCCGTGTGAGAAACGTTTGGTTCCCCCCATTGCTGGGAACCCTGCGCACCTAAGTAAACACATTAGTACCTGCCAGAGGGATTTGTATAGAAGACAGCTGAAGAAGGCATTGGCCTCTGCTGGCACTCTGGGACTCCCAGGAGAGATCAAAGGGACACGAGGGGGTTTTTAGCAGCCTTGAGACTGGGAAAAGTCGCTAGTTCCTGCTATTGGAGGGACGTCCCAGCGAGCACATGGCTCAATTATTCAACCTCCTCCCTCCCCTGCCCCCCGCTCCCATTCCCCGGCTCATTCTCCACAGAGAGGTGGAAGCTCTGGAAAAATCGTACGGGTTCCCCCGAGGCAGCACCGATCCAAGCAGGAATTTTCCCCGTGGAAATAGCTGCTGGGTCGACGCCTGCCCGCCTCACCTTCGACCTCAGAAAACATCCCGCTGCTGGCTGCCCGCCTCGCTCTCCGGCTTGCGGGCGGTTTTCCGGAGAAAAATAAAGGAGCACAATAAATAATTAAAAAAAAAAAAAAAAAGGCCTTAAACACTCGGTCGCGTCACTTCAGAGCAGAGCGGTGACAAGGCAGCGGCACTGCCCGCACCCCGTCTCCCCTCCCCATCGCTCCCTGGCCCCGCAAGCCCCTGGGGCGGGCGGTGGCGGCGCCGGGCCGGGCCCCGCCGTGCCCGCAGGGCGGGAGGGCTGGCGGTGCTCCCGCACCCGCGGGGAGGGGAGCAGGTGGATCCCTGGCGGAGCGGGGCAGGTAGAGGTGAGGGAGGCCGCTGCTCAGCCTGGGCTTTGCGGGAGCAGCGCCGCAACCCGCCTCTCTGCCCTTAAATCAACTGGAGCGGGAAGGAGGGGGGCGGCGGGGGGGCACCCACATCCGTGTAAAAACTTCTCTGACTTTGTGCGTGGCCTCTCCGGAAAAAGACTTGATTAAATCACAAACCTCTCGTCCTTACCCAGTTATTACTCTTTGATTTTGTGATCCCAGGGCCCTGTTTGCTTTGGCTGGGGACTTAGGTAAAGATTATCGTTATTAATATCAAACACAAACATTTTAATTGCAAACACACTGAGGACCTTCAGTGGGAAGCCCAGCATGTCAGCCGCAGCCGCGGGGGTCACGGAGAGTCTCTTCGGGAGGTATTTTCTTTATTTAATGAAAAAAAAAAAAAAAAACACCCTACCAAACCCCTTCCTCGTAGGCAAACAATCGCCCCAGTTACCCTGCCCCCGGAGGAGACCTTGCCGTGGGGGTCCGACCGGGGAAAGGCTGGGCCGAGGGCAGACCCGACAGCAGGGCTGGCGGGGTGTCGGTCTGACACCGTGGTTTCGGGGCTGCTTCCGCACCGCTCCTGCCCTGCTGCGGGAGGCGGCTCCTTGCGGGGCTCTATGGGGCGAAAGAACTGCCCGTAGCCCTCCTCTCGGACCCGGCGGGGATCGGAACAAATCCTGAAGGAAGGCGACGAGCTGCTAACTCTATCCGAAACGCTCTGTTGCTCATCGAGTCGAGTCCCTTCGCTACAGAAGGAACCTGTCTTCGCTTTTCCGCCAAAAGGCAGAGATTTGCGGGCGACAACCCGCGTTCCCCGAAGCGCCGCTTTCTGAAGCGCCCCCGAGTTGCCCGAGGCAAAAGGGTTTATTTGAAACGAGAAAAAGTGGGGGGAACTGTGGTATCACACGACGTGCCCACCACACCGTGCCGCCGCCGTTGTAATTACTCCTTACAACTCCTTACAACGGAGTATCTCATTAGCGGGCAATTAGAGTGAATACTTAACCGGTTTAAAAACCAGGCTGGCCACGGTGGCACCGAAGGGCAGGCAGGAGGGCACCGCCAGGGAACTCTCTTCCCCTTCCGAGGACGTACCCATGCCAGAGCCGGCCGAGAAAGGGGAGACCTTCCCGAAACGTGGCGGTGACCTTTCAAAAAAAAAAACAAACAAAAAAAACCACAACAAAACAACGAAAACAAAAAATAAATCACGGGTTAAAGCCGGCGAGGCGAGCGCCCGCGGGCCGGAGCTGCAGCAGCGTCCCTCGGGACGTGTGCGGGGCAGAGCGGGGGTCCCGGCTGCTCGCCCCTTCCCGGGGCACCAACAGCCCAACGGCGAGCGGCTCCGCTCCACCATCCTCGCAGCGGCCGTGGATTTTTACATCACGGAGTGAAAGGCTTCAGCTGTTGTTACCCCCACCCCCAGCCCCTTTTCGGCCGCTTAACTCTTTCCTCCCTGAGGGACCCCATTCTCCTCTCCCTCAGGCTGAAGGCAGTCGAGGGGAGTCACCTTTCCCGGCAGGGAACCACGGCCCCAGGGCACCGGGCTCCTGCCAGAGCCGCTCGCCGCCCCCCGGTTCGGGTACCAGGCCCAGCAGTTTTGCCGCAGACCGGACTTGAGTTCAAGTTCTCCGCTGCCGAAAGGAGAAGGTGAGACGCGCTGAACCTCCTTCTTTTACGGGACCGGGGGCGGCTCTTTGCGCTTCCCTTTCTAAGCTCACCCACCATTTGCGGGGCGAGGCTGAAGAAGCGTCCCTGCCTGGGGGAGCTACGCTGTCAGCTGGGGCACTGCGGGGAAACGGGCTGCGGGGGTCCTGCCCCGGCACCCACCCGTGCCGGCCCGCCTTCCCCGGGAGCGGGCGGAGGCGGCGGGTAATTAACACCGCGAATTAAGGAGAGACACTCCTCTCTCAACAAAGGAAAAAAGTCTCTCCTGAGTGCTGCCTCCCGGTCACTCGGGTCGTGGCTCGGCGGCACGTCTGACTCCTCGTGTCGCTGAAGTCAGTTTTAACTCCGGGATCGGGTTATTATTTAATTACGAGGGGGGGGAAACACTGTAACACAAAGAGCTTTATTTTATAACTCAAGAAATCCATCTGTTCTTATATACAATATCACATTCCACCATTTAAATATATATTTGTTATGTTTACAAAAGAAAAGACGGTACTAAAATTATTTACAGGAACGAAATGATGCAGGAACTCTTTAAATACGACTAACACGAAATGCAACCAACAGCTTCACTCAGACAGGAATGAACTTGCCGGTGAGTCTCAGACAAAGCGGATCACCGGTACACAGGTAAGTATCTTAAATTAAAAAAAAAAAAAAGAAGAAGAAAAAAAGAGAGGTGGTCTACGCAACACAATTTAAAGAAAACAAAACTCAGGGGGGAAAAAAAGAAAAAGAGGACAAAGAGGAAAGGAAAAGGGGGAAAGTCTGTTTGGCTCCAGTCAGTGAGAGCCATTTTCTTTGGGGTAGGTGTACCTTGACTCGACCTTAACAAGGCCCCTGCCTGGGCTTTCCACTGTGTTAATTTGCTTCGTTACTTAGTTTAGAGAGAAGGGGGTGGGGGCTCCATCCCCGTTAAATATACTACCAGAGCAACCGGCTTTATTTCTCCACCACTTCCTCCGCGCTGGGCAGTTTGGGCTCGTCGGAAGAAATACTGTCCACTATGGAAGAAAGGCACCGAAGGCTGCTGGAGGCCGACGACTCGACGGCGGAGCCTCCTGCTCAACGAGAGAAAAGGGATTAAAGGAGCAAACGGTGCCTCCTGGCCGGGCAGGGCTGGCGGCGGGCGGAGAGCCCGGGCGCCGGAGGGTGAGAGGCCGTTAGGGGCTCGCGACCGTTGGGGGCCAGAGGCCGTTAGGGGCTCGCGACCGTTGGGGGCCAGAGGCCGTTAGGGGAAGGGAAGGGCGCGCGGGTGAGGGTGAGCAGGGCCCAGCGGCGGCCGCCCCGCCGCGCTGAGGGAGGACGGCGGCCGCGGTGCGAGTTACCTTCCTTGGGGCTGACTCCTAGGGCTCGGGAATGGTCAGAAACGCTTTGCCAGTCGGAGCCGCAGGTGCTGAGGAAGTCCGAACTGGGGATCTGCGGCAGACGGGGGGGGGGGGGGGGGGGGGGGGACGGCGGGGAGAGGGACGGGTATTAGTGAGGTGGACGGCGGCTCCCCGGGGCGGGCCGGAGAGGAGCTCCACTGTTCCTGGAGGAGCCCCCTCCGCGCCCCTCCGGCCCGCCCGGGCCGCCGCAGAGGAGGGGAGGGGACGGGCATGGCTGTTTCACAGCTGGGTGCCAGGGTGGCGGGAGGAATCAAGCGGCAGCGCTTACATTTCCCTGCTTGGGGCTGAAGCTGAAGGGGTCCCCCCCGATCTCCTGCATTTTGTCCTGCTGATCCAGCCTGTGCAAGAGGTCCTGCAGCCTCTCGATGTAGCTGATGGCGCTCCTCAGGATCTCCACCTTGGGCAGCCTCTGGTTGGGGTTCGCCACAGTCCGCCTTTTCAGAGCCTCGAAGGCTTCGTTGATCTTCTTCAGTCTTCTCCTCTCCCGCAGGGTGGCTGCTTTCCGTCTGTCCGTAGGGGCTGACTTTCTCTTGCAAGTTTTACAAGCCCAGATCAAACACTGGCCAGGGCAGTGAGGGGGTTGTAGTCCCGGGGGTGCCAGCACATGCTCCTCTCCGCTGCTGTCACTGCCGGCCTCTGGCGGCATTTGGTCCTGACAAGGGGACAAGGTACCATCGCTGCCTGGGTACAGCGGGGATCCCTCGGCCATCTCCAGCTGCTGCAGGGCTCCATTCTCCCCATCCAAGTAGAAGAAATAGGAGCCAGTTTCAAAAAGGTCCATCATCATGCTGTCCCTCGGCCTCTCTGCCTGCTTGAGTTGGGTGGCAGGCTCAAAAACACCCCGAGGAACAACCCAGATGGAATTTAATTAGTGCAGTGACATAAGTCTCCCCTGCTTTATATAGGAGCTGCTGAAACCCTATCCAACTTTTAGCTGTCGCGGTGCATCACCCTCCAAAACTGATTCCAGCCAGTCTCCTGGGCGCTGTCCTGAGAACATCTCCTATTTAGAAGGGGGAGGGGGGGCACAAGGGGAGGGAGGCAAAATAAAATTAAAAAAAAAAAAAAGGCAAACAAGTGAAAAAGAAAAATACAACCCAAGTTCTCCCCTCCCCCAAAATCCCGTGAGCTCATGGTGCAGCAAAGGGAGGCGAGGTGGGGGCTCGAGAGCCTGTCCGGGCACAGCAGGTGACCCGGTCCCCACTGCAGAACCCGCAGGGACATGACTGGAGGACAAAGGCTCAGGGCTGCACAGGGAGCCCTCCCCCAGCCCACCCCTCACACCCTCAGCGCACGCTCCTTGCCCTGGTGCTAAGTATAGATCTATAAGGAGAGATTTCAAAGGCAGCCATCACTCTCCAAATAGACGGGTTAATATTTTCAGAAGAAGCTCCTGCTATTCCCCCTTCTCCCCCCCTCCTCCCTTGAAGCATGCCATTCCTGTGACCCAAGCCACCCCGGCCAGTCCAAGGTTAGGAGCCAAGCTCACTGTTCCTCTACACACAGGGGGAAGGTTGCCAAGGCAGAGCCTTGCTGTAGTGCTGAAGCACCCACAGTTATTGTACCTCGGCTTAGCCTTTTAATCTGAACTTTCCCATGTTGCCCGTGAGGTGACAGGAGTGATTCCAGGTGACTGGATTACGGTTTGATGGTGCTCTCTGGACAGCCACTGTCCTTGACAGTGTTTAGGGCAAGCAAAGCCCAGGCATGTGGTGTAGCTGCAGTTTAATCTCTTGGGCCTGGCAAGGTATATAGAGCTTCCTAGCCCCTGAGACAGAAATGGAGCTTGTGATCTCTGTTAGCTTTTAGTGTAATGTCACATTGTGTCTAGGCTTTTTTTATATCAAGAAAGAGAAGGTATGGGAAAATGGACTGTTTGCCTCTTTCCCTGTGCTGCCTTGTGTTCCTTAAATCCCATGTAACTTCTGTTTGTTTGTGTAAATATATGTCCATATCTATATGTATGTATACATCTATAAGTACACACATATGTATGTATATTTGTGTGGATAACTAAGTACATTTCTGTGTGTGTATATATGCATGTATACATGTATATGCACATATGTGTATGCTTTTTCATAGAAACTCACAAGAACGGATGAAGAGCGGATAAAGCCCTTGAAATACCAAATCTCTCAAATGTAGCTTCTAACTTCATTTTTTCTGAAGGGAATTGTGGCATTTTTGTTCATTCCTCAAAAGCTACAATGAAATGGATCATTGACTTGACTGTTTCTCCAAAACTGATTGCAAACTGTTTTTTCAGAGAACAAAAATCTGAAAGAGTAGTTGTGATTTTGTTTTGACCAAATCAGTGTTGTTGTTGGAATGGATTTCACTTCTGCTTTGATGAGGTAGAACAATATCCAGTTTTGGATGAGACAGAGAAATTCAGACTGTTCTCATTGAAACTAATTTTGATATTGGTATTCCAGCACTGAGTTTTTTTTTTTTCCTCCTCAGATTAAAAAAAGGGTAGTCTTGAAGTTAAGGAGCTGAACATAAGATACAGTTTCTCAGTTTCCATGCTCTGCAACTTGCTTTTTGTTCAACCTTTGACCGGTCACTTAATTTCCCTGTGATTTAGTTTTCTACCTTTAAAAAGGGATATAATGTTGACCTTTATCCATCCCTTGTGTTTCTCATTTAATTTTCTGACTATCCAGGGGGAGCCATACCTTGGTGTTACATGCTTTGGAGTTCCCCAGGGATGTTTGCCCTATACCGTTAGTGATGGTAGCAATTAAAAAGAAAGAAAAAAGTCTGCTGATTATTTAAAACATTTTCACATTTACTACAGTCATTTTTTCTTTTAATCTTTAGATTCTTCACTACTGCTCTGGGAATGTTTGGAAAAACGCAGAGGCGAGATCAATCTACTGGTAAGGTGCACAAATGAAAACTTAGTTTAAGAGAGGAATGTCATTACGAAATTGTTGTTGTCATCCTTTTAAGAGTTTTAACTGGACTTAAGGAATTGGGAAACTTGGAAGTTTAGAAGCCAGATGCTCCTTCAGCTGTCAACAGGTGTTTTTTTCTAAACAGGAAACAAAGTAAGAAGTTCCTTCTTTCTGGCACTTAGTGCTAGGGTAAACAGATTTGGTTCCTCACAGTAACCTGGGCACAGCATAGTAAGCCCTTTATCGAGAAAAACTCCTATTAAATGTAACTGAAAATTAATTTGAATTAGGTCGTCCAATTTCCCCATCACACAAGCAACTTGAATTTTGCTGTAGCCATCAAAATGCATCCCCCATTCCAGGTCCTTGGTGAACGTAACACAGCTAGCAAAAAACCCTGGCATATTTGAACAAAGTGCCGTCAGTGATGTTCTCCATTATAAAAGTGGATCAAGTGGAGCATTCAAAAGTTGGTGCTGGTCTTTTTTTTCTCTTCATGCCTTGTGTTCCAGATAGTGTTAGATATAAGCACAAAGACATAAGAGGAAGTAAAAGCATGTGAGTAAGAACAACTGGACATAGAATTGGAAGGAGGATCACTGCTGAACTGCGCTTGTAACTTCAGTCTGTTTGATAGCCCCTTATAGAAAAACACTCTCAGTCTGTGAAGCCAGTTCATTATTAGATTGTTACTGCTTCCACCAGAGTACTGTGGTACTTTACTGAGAATGTACTTTCAGTATATTTACACAAGTGAAATACAAGATGTGCTGTATTTCACTGGTCTACAAGGTTTGTTATCTTACCAAAGTATTTTAGTAAGTCAGTGAGTACTGAATTCAGCAAGTGGTCAGAATGACCCAAATCCAAGCAGGATGCACTGCATTTTAAGTCACAGATGATCTCCAGAACTTTGATCCCTCCAGATTAAGTTTTTCACTTAAACCTTTTGGGATAACTGTGGTTGAATAATGACCTTGGATCTGCCCAGATCACTTGACACCTTATGATTTAAGCAGAAGTTCAGTGCAGAATTATAGAGAAATATTTTGTCATCTAGGACCCACATAGCACTGCATACCGCTCCAAACACCTCCTTTTTCTCCTTCACACTCCTCAAGATTCTTCCAGCCACTGACTTTGTGTATTTTTAATGTTTGATCTCTTTGACACTTCTTTGCAGTGGCATCGGTAATCAGTGGGGATCAGGCATATCCACTCCTGTATGGCACCATGAAAGGGCACCTAGGCAAAGGTGAAATTTTCAGCCTTTGTTATTGCCCTGCTCTATTCACACAACACCCACCTTGATTTGCGAGATGGTTAGATACCTTGGCTACCAGTTAACTGTTCTTAAGTTGTTTCTTGCAGGTGTGTGAAGTGCAGGTTATCAGCGTAGGCCCAGCTGTGGACATGCTGGGGTTCTCAGAGTTTGTTTGCATTTCAGATACTGTTCACATTCTCCTTTTTTTTTACCTTTGACACATATTCAACAGCGTCTTTCTTAGCAGAAACTTTTCTTTTCAACATATTTTATTGTTAATATACAATACTATTCTTCCACGTTTATTTCTTTGTCGAAGAGTTTATATTCTTCAAAACTTGGTCACCAAGTTTCTGAAATTATTTTAACATTTAACTTGATGTCTTCTGCTGATATTTCTAACATGTCCATTTTGTCACAGGAGTAATAACACCTCCTTTTTAAACTTCAGTATTTTTTGTCTAATTTCTCAACAGAAAAAAAAATATTATAGTCTCATAGTAGTCTCAAGGCAACCACTTAAAATACCTCTTTGCTACAGAAAAAGTCTAGGCTCTCACTCCTGTCCTGTTAAAAAATGGAGAAAACCTTGACATGTTGCTGCACTATGAGATTTGCTGCTGAAACAGTATGTTATGCTAAGGATTGCAAAAGCTAAGGAGGATGAAATGATTCATCTCTTCCTTCAGAAGAAAATTTTAAGCAGATGGGAAGGATGAAGAAATGTTTACTGTTTAAAGATGTTTGAAGTGGCTGAGAGATGTGGAAACTGTAAGGGGGACATTGGTGCACAAAAGATAGGTAATCTGGTAAAGAACATACATTTATCTTTGAATTTACAACATATTACAGAAATGTTTGGTGAACAGAGATTAGAGATTTTCCATGAGTTTTCTTGAAACTGTGGACAGTGGAGACTCTAAGGGGAACTGGCATTTCTTATGCTGACAGTGACCTGTGGGAAATCTAAGCAAAAGACCTTTACTGACATTCTTGTACTGGCACAGAGTATATGGAACTTCATGGCTTGTGGTATGTAGGAGCACTTCTTAGCTGAACTTCATTATCTCTTCTTGCCTTAAAATGTCTGAATTTCACAGAGGTCTGCAGCAGTAACATGGAGCAGCTTTAATTCTTGCTTTTTATTTATGTATGTTGTTAGACTATCAGCTGATTTTTGCTTACCTAGACTCTGTTGTTTCCTTGACCCTATTCAAATTCTGCTCATCCAAGGAAATGATATTTGCATATCTACATTGTCTCTGGAGATTTAGGAACGGATAGAGGAAGTGTGTGTACTCTGCATGCCAGTGCACTTGTATAAGTATGTGCCATTTCAGAGAATTTAAAAGCCTGTGGGAACAGCCATCCCTCAAATGCAAGTTTGGCAAGCGGAGTAGTGAATGGTATACTATATCTTCTGGGGCTGGGAAGCCAGAAAGGTAGAAGCCTGGAAAAGACAACTTTGTATGATTTGATGGTCTTTGTGGGGGAAGATTTAAAAAAAAATCTTATTCACACAGGCCTTGTCTGTATAGCTGTTCCAAATTATTGCTGTTTTCCTTTGATTGGATATGGACTTTAGTGTTCATATCAGTTACAATGCTGTTAGTATCTGAGAGGTGCAACCTTGCTAACTAAACAGACTTCTCCAGTTCAGTATGGTAAGGTAGGATTTCATTAC